TCAAAGATATTAAATCTCTCTGATGGTACTAAATCTTTCAAAGAAGATATGAGCAAGTCCATCAGACATCACTTAAAAAGTATCCAGCTTAACATCTGTAAAATGCAGATTTTTTTATATTAATTTTTGCAATGGGCAAGAAACCTCCTTAAAGTTTTTATTTTCTATTTTAGGCAAGTCTATACTTTTTTTTTTTTTTTTTGTCAGTCGTGGGGCTTGAACTCTGGGCCTGGGCGCTGTCCCTCAGCTCTTCAGCTCTAGGCGAGCACTCTACCGCTTGAGCTACAGGGCCACTTCCGGGTTTCTGGCGGTTTATTGGAGATAGGAGTCTCACGGTCTCTCCTGCCTGGGCTGGCTTTGAACCGCGATCCTCAGATCTCAGCCTCCTGAGTAGCTAGGATTACAGGCGTGAGCCACCAGCGCCCGGCTTCAAGTCTATACTTTTAAAATACAATGATTGAATACAAAATAAGAAACCATTGTGTTTGAAGTTTTTTCGTTTTTGTTTTTTGGGTCAGGTCGTGGGGCCTGAACTCTGGGCCTTGGTGCTGTCCCCGCGCTCTTCAGCTCAAGGCGAGCGTTTTTCCACTTGAGCCACAGCGCCACTTCCATGAAGTATTTTTTTCTATTATTTTTCTTACCATTTAATATTTCATTGAAATAATACTCTTTCAAAGTTTTATTTAAAATTCAATAAAAAGACAAACTAATCTTAGCTAATCAGGATGCTCAGATCTAAGGATCACAGTTCAAAGCCAACTCAGGCAGGAAAGTCTGAACTCTTGTCTCCCGTTAATCACCAAGAAGCCAGAAATGGAGCTGTGGCTCTAATCCTGAGCAAATAAGCTGATAGACAGTGCCCAGGCCCTGAGTTCAAGTCCCAAGACTAGCACAAGAAAAACAAAAGAGAAAGAGATTATATTCTATGCCACCTTTTAGTTTTTAGAAGCACTTACAGGTAACATTTCACTGCTTTGAATTCTAATTAACATCACTTCTCATCCTTTGGCCAGAATTTGGAATGTTTACAGTTGGTCTAAATAATTTTTAAATGAATTTGTGGAATATTTCAAAGCTCGGATGCTTTATGTTCTCATCTTTTGCAAAATGCCTTGTGTGATAATACATACTAACCAAGTAAGAATTTTCTTTTTTCTTAATTTATCTTTTAGTTTTTTATTGTAAAGGTAAAAGGTAATGAGTACATTTCTTTTTGAACAGTGTCACCCCCAAGTAAGAATTTTATCCCCTGTATCTGATTTTTCCTATTGCTGAGGTCTTTTGTGCTGGGAAACTCACAGCCAAGATACAGGAGAGTTTATAGAATTTTCCAGAATGCTTGGATTCTTTTCTAGAGCTAGAAAAGGTGGGGAAATAAACCAGGATATTTATTTCACTGTGTTGCCTTTCCCTCTCCCCCTTATTGTATATGAATAGCTTAGAGATGATTCTTCTCAGCCATAGAAGAAAATGAGTTAGAGAAGCACTGGGCTTCTCTTGTAATCAATTCAATGATGAAGAACAGGACTGAGCTGGCAGTCTAGAGAGAGAAGCGGGGATAATCTCTTTGTGTGTGCAGAGTCATCACATGAAGTTGTGTTCTCCCTTGGACTTCACTGGATTATCCAGTTTTACATTCGATTGGATAAGCTTTTTATCTACTTAAAAAAATCATTACCATCTCTCTGACAACAGCTGGTGTCCCTTATTACTCAGATATGTGTTCAATGTAATGCTCTCCGGCTGGAAAAGTCACAGAATTCTCAATTAGTTGCAGTAGTTGGCAGAAGGGAAAGAAAGGGGGAAATTCCCTATGTGGTTTGCTTTTGATATATGCAAATAAGATTCACTCTTTGTGACATTGTGCTGAAGGAAAAGTTAGCCCCGCTGATTTTCCTATGAACAACATTTTGCACATAATAAATGCAGCTCTTGGAAGCCAAAATTGCCACTCACTGAAATAGCACTTGCTTCTAATGTTTAAGAACTAAAGTTTAACCCTTGTTCTTCACATCACTAACAAGAAGATGTCTTTCCGTTATAACAAGCTTCTGACAAGATAACCTCTGACAGTATAGCTTCTCAGATTCTTCTACTGACTGATTCTCCCGCTGAACTCTGATCCCTTCTGACTAAGCACAGTTTAAAGATGAGGAAATTAGTGGTATCCTTGTTTCAAATATCTGTTTCTATGAAACCGAAGAAACTCTCACAGGTTTGTGGCTTGAACACACACTATTCATTTGCTAATAATTCTGTAAGTCTTCAATTGGGGCTGGGCTCAGCTGAGTGATTTGTCCCCTGGCCTTGCCTGGAGTCACAGAGAGATACAGTCCACTGTTGACTTGGCTGTGTGTGGACTGTCCACAGCGAACTTAAAGCTGATGCTGTCTGTCAGCCAGGCCTTTCATGTGGTCTTCAATCCTCAAGAATTCTTTTTTTTTTCTTTTTGCTTATGTGGTGCTGAGGAATCGAACCCATGGCCTCAGGCATGCAAGGCAAACGCTATACCACTGTGCCACCTTCCCAGCCAATCCTCAAGAATTCTAAGCCAGGGTTCAAGAGGGTGTGTGTGTGTGTGTGTGTGTGTGTGTGTGTGTGTGTGTGTGTGTGTGTGTGTATATGGGGGGGGGGGTGATGGGGAAGGAGTTGTAAGACACCTGTTGCACAGGTTTGCAGATCTCCCAAATTCACTTGTACCTCATTCTACTGGGCAGTATAAGTCATGAGGTCAGTCCTAGCTACTGAGGGGTAGCTAGGACTAGGACTAGGGGTAGCTAGGATATATATGAAGATCCCAATTCAAAGCCACTCTGGGTAGGAAAGTCTGTGAGACTCTTATCTCCAATTAGCCAACAAAAAAAACCTCCAACTAGAGCTGTGGCTCAGGTGGTAGAACACTAAGCTTAAAAAAAAAGCTCAGGGGCTGGGAAGGTGGCTCAGTGGGAGAGTGCTTCCTTCACATGCATGAGGCCCTAGGTTTGATTCCTCAGCACCACATAAGCAGAAAAAAAGCAGCAAGTGGTGCTATGGCTCAAGTGGTAGGGAGGTAGCCTTGAGCTGAAAAGCTGAGGGTCAGTGCCCAGGCCCAGAGTTCAGCCCCTCCACGACCGACAAAAAAAAAGAAAAAAGAAAAAAAAGAAAGAAGAAAAGCTCAAGAACAGTGTACAGGCTCTGAGTTCAAGTGCCAGGAAAGAAAGTGCCAAAATAAAAAATGAAATAGAGAGAGAGAAAGAAAGAAGAAAATAAAGAGAGAGAGAGAAAGAAAAAAAGAAAAAAGGAAAGAAAGAGAAAGAGAAAGAAAGAAAAAAAGAAAGAAGAAGGAAGAAGGAAAGAAAGAGAAAGAAAGAAAGGAAGGAAGAAAGGAAGGAAGAGAACTAGACTTTATCTCTTAATGGAAGGAACAGCTGAGTCACATTAATGAGATCTGGGTTCTGGTGGCTCATGCCTGTAATCCTGGCTACTCAGGAGGCTGAGATCTGAGGATTAAGGTTCAAAGCCAGCTCTCAAAGCCAGCTCCGACAGGAAATTCCACGTGACTCTATCTCCAGTAAACCACTCAGAAAACCGGAAGTGGCGCTGTGGCTCCAGTGATAGAGTGCTAGCCTTGATCTAAAGAGCTGAGGGACAGCGCCCAGGCCCAGAGTTCAAGCCCCACAACCAACAAAAAACAAAAACAAAAAAAACTTTACATCAGAGCTGCTGAGGACAGCAACAGAAAGTAATGTACAGCCTCTGAAATAAGTTTGTGGCCAGTTGATCCCTTTCACCGACAGCACTGGTGCCTTAAAATGGCCTGTGGTCAGAAAAAAAGCCGTTTCACCCACCTCTTATTTCTTTAGGAGATATTTTATTTCCTGTTTGAGCGCAAGAAAATCTCAGGTATCCTGATAGGGAGGCCTCCAGATGTCTGGTCTCTTCTATTAGATCTAAATGTAGCAGAGAATGGTTGGTCTTAGATCTTCTCAGAGAGACTTCTTGGGGGGGGTAGAGCATTCCAAAAGACACGCTCATTTATTTACTTCTAAAAAAATTATTTTATTGTAAAGGTACTGTACAGAGGGGTGACATTTGCCTGAGTAAGACAATCAGTGCTTACCTTGTCGGACATTGTTACCCCTTCCCTTGTTCTCCCACTATCTCTTCCCTCCCTCACCTCCTTCACTCTTCCCCCCACCAAGTTGTAAAGTTCATCATTTATTTACTTGTTTTGTTAAGAACGGAGTTTCTAGTTTCCACGAGCGCTTATCAGTACACTTTTTGTTTTGTTTTGGTAATTAGAAGCTTGGAATGTATAGAGCAGCTAGAACTGCAACAATATCAACAATCAACTCTAAAAGCTGACCTCTTTCAAGGCCCACTGACCTCTCCCTCCCCCCCCCCCATGTCTGTTCTGATTGGTAGGGGAGGTATGAGGGGGGGTGTAGTAATTTTTCTCTTTTTCAGTTTCTTAATTATCAACAAGCTTTTCAGAGCATTGCACTCATTGTTTCCATCACGGCTTAGGGATGGTACCCAAAAGGACCAGCAATTCCCTTTCTGGAGATTCACTTGTGTTCATTTGTGCTAACTGGCACTTACTGAGCACTTATTATGAGCCAGGCATGGTACATAACTTGATCACAACAATGTTCTACTTCAATCCCAACACCAACCCAATGACAATGCATGGACCGCTATTTTTCCCACTATGTCACAACTGGAGAAACTGAAGCTAGAAAGATCCTAATGTAGTCCCATGTCACACACCCAGGAAACAGCCGCATCAGAACTGAAGACAATGCAGTGTTGCTTCAAAGTGGTGATTGTTTATTTACCCATCTTCAATCCATCAAAGCTTTGTTCTGCCCATAGTAGTCCACCGTTGTCTTAGCTTCTTGATTGCCTTTTGTTTTCATTTTCTTTCACTTTATGAAAACAGCTTGAGGAACCTCAATGAAAGCTGCAAAGAAGTGAGGGGTTTGGGGGAGGAGGTCACTCAAGAGGTGGGCCATGTCCAATCAGTTGTCAAAGAGGAGGCGACGGTGAGCCTTGCTGGGTGGTCGGCGGGGAAAGTTGCATCTAGGGAACTGGAGCTGAGGGTCCTGGAGTGGGGAAGGAGGCAGGGGGTGGAGTTCGGGGCTGGAGGCCGATTCTGTCACCGGAACAGGGCAGAGAGGTGGCCCTGGAGGCAGGCCTTGGACTGCAGGCCCCAGGGCTGAGCTGGCTGGGGTCTGGCAGCCTCCTTGGGGCCAGCCACTGGAGATGACCTCGGGAAGAGCGGGGAGGGCAAAAGGGTTGGGAGTTGAGGGCTCGGGAAATAGTCTGTAGGTCCTGGTTCCGGAGGCTGACAGGTCTGGCGCCCAGGGCTCAGGAAATGGGTTGTAGGCTTCCAGGGTCAACGATTTTCCCATGTAGGCACCGAAGCTGTCGACATCCCTGGAGGACATCTTTGTGGGGGCCCAAGGCCAAGTCACCAGGCAGGCGTGGACCTCACAGGAGGGCTCCGTTGGGGGCCACAGGATCGAGTCATTTACATACCAGCAAGTGCAAACTCCAGCAGAGGGCAGGGGCACGCAGGGGCCAGAGGCTGCAGAATACCAGTACGCTTCCCGGAAAGCCTGCCACCCAGGGACAGCACTGTTCCAGGGCACCTGCTCCTCCCGTGAGAACGTGCTCAGAGATGAGAACATGCTGGCTGGCGTATCCCAGCACCCTCCACGCGCTGTGCTGTCTGGATCTCCCAGGCTGGGATGGCTTCGGTTCTTGGAAGTCAGGAGGCCACCACTGCCGAAATGCTCCCTGGAGATGGACACTCTCGGGGTCCCAGGAGCTCTTGGCTCAGGCTGGCTTGCAATCTTACCGTCCTGGTATACCTACCGTGCGCACTGTGCCCAAGGCTTGCTGCTGAGCTCCTCCGGACTGGGACTGGATCCTGGAGATGCTGGTGGGTTGTCTGGGCCTCTATTTATGAATCCCAGACTGGAAGGCGTGGCTAAATCCTATCCCGGACAAGGTGAGACAGGGGCCTGCCGCTAGGGTGTGAACGTGACCTGCCTTCCTTAGGGTCAGCGGGAGACTCTGGCTTAAACCAATCAGAACTAGAAGGGCCTCTGCTAGTTGCAGAATGGGGGCTGCAGGGAGGGAGAGAGAGAGGCTGAGGGCGCAGGGGCCAGAGTTCTGCCCACCCTAGTCTAGGTCTGCGCTCTCTAGGACCCGCCTTTACACTCGTGGGCTTATAGGGAAAGAGATTAAGATAGTATATAGGAGAAAAACGCCTGCTCTCCTTGCTTATTGCAGCCAAACTCTAGGATCAACTAAGGCACCAACGACTGATGAATCGCTACAGAAATCGCAATAACAGTAGATATATGTATGTGTCATAGTTAGAAACTGTATGACGGGTACAGTTTGTGTAGACATCGTTTGTGTACGCATCCATGCCTAAATGCGTGCGCGCGCGCGCGCGCGCGCGCGCGCACACACACACACACACACACACACACACACACACACAAAACCCTGAAGTTATGGGGGGTGTACTTGGAGATCATGTTGAGAGAGTAAGCCTGAATCGAAAAGTCAATACCACGTGCTCATTGTGGTTTATAGACCTCAAATGATGATGAAGACGATGATGATGATGATGATGATGAACCTGAGCAAGGGGTCGACAGGAAGAGGTGAGGGATCCTGGGGGGCATCAATGAAACCCATCAAGTGTTGTCTGAAAAGGGGGGGAGGAAGAGGGAAAGTATGGATGAGCACAGTGAGAGGTAAATGTATTCGCAGTGCCAGTGAAGCCCCACCCTATAAAAGTACACCGAGTTTTTAAATGTTGCCTAGAGCAGAAGCAGCCAGCTTGAGGATCTGGAGCTTGGAGGATCTGGCCATCCCTTGGGAAAGAACTGACTTTGAGAATGTTACATTCAGCAAATGCATGACAACCTTCCCCCTTGCAATGCTGAGTATGTGGTCCTGTTCTAAGCAGGCCACTGTGTGTACGTGTGAGTGTGCGCGAGTGTGTGTGTGTGTGTTTGTGAGTGTGTGTATGAGTCAGAAACTGACAGCAATAACAGAATAACATTCTCTCTCTGTCTCTCTCTGTCTCTCTGTCTCTGTCTCTGTCTCTCTCTCTCTCTCTCTCTCTCTGGCTTGCTTTTTGGGGTGTGGGGCATGGCACCATCCTTGAGCTCTTTGCTCAAGGCTAGTGTTCTACCACTTTGAACCACAGTGTCACTTCTAGTTTTGAGTGGTTAATTGGCGATAAGAGTCTCACAGTGACTATTCTGCCTGGAATGGCTTCGAACCTCCATCCTCAGATTTCAGCCTCATAAGTAAACTGGATTACAGGCATGAGCCACCAGCACATAGCTAAAAAGAACTTTCTTAAGAAAACCATTTTCTTCATCTACTAAGGGGCATCTGGGTTGGTTTCATATCCTAGGTATGGTAAATAATGCTGCAATAAATATAGTTGTGCTGGTAGCTTTAGTATGGTCTTGTTTGTGATCAGTTGGGTAAATGCCCAAAAGTGGGATTGCTCGGTCATAGGGAAGCTCTATGTGGAACCTCCATACTGCTTTCCAAAGTGGTTGAACAAGTTTACACTCCCACCAACAATGCAGTAGGGTTCCCTTCTGGCCACATCCCCTCCAGCATCTGTTGTTATTAGAGGTCTTGATTATAGCCATTCTAACTGGGGTGAAGTGGTATCTCAATGTTGTTTTGATTTGCATTTCTTTTATGGCTAGGGAGGTTGAGCATTTCTTCATGTGTCTATTGGCCATCCTGCTTTCCTCTTCAGAGAAGCTTCTCTTTATGTCTTTAGCCCACTTATTTATTGGGCAGTTGTTTCTTTGAAGATTTGTTGTTGGGGGATTTAATTTTTTGAGTTCCAGGTATATTTTCGATATAAGACCTTTGTCTATTGTATGGCTAGTGAAGATCTTCTCCCAATCCATGGGCTTTCTATTGATCTTGCTAGCTATGTCCTTTGCCATGCAGAAGCTCTGTAATTTTATGCAATCCCATTTGTCCAACCTTTCTTTGATTTGTTGTATTTCTGGGTCTCTATTAAGAAAATTTTGGCCTGCCAAGGAGACATAGGGTTTCTCCTATTCCATCTGTTTTCAGAGTGTCTGCTTTGACTCTGAGGTCTTTGATCCATTTGGAGTTGATTCTGGTGCAGGGTGATATATAAGGATCTAGCTTTAGTTTTATACAAGTAGTTAACCAAGTAGTTAACCAAGTAGTTTGCCAGCACCATTTACTGAAGAGGCTGTCTTTCTAAATGGAATTCTAAGCCTCCATCAGAAAGAATGACATTGTCCCATTTGTTAGGAAATGGAAAAATTTGGAAAAGATTATATTAAGTGAAGTAAGCCAGGCCCAAAGAAACATCGGTCTCATGGTTTCCCTTATTTGCAATAACCAGTGTATGTCTGAGTCAAGCAGAAAAGGTCAGATAAGTTGATATTAAGGAAATGAACCCCAAGATAAGTATTCAAATGTTTTTTTCTTTCATGCAATTGTTTCTAACAATTTATAAGATGATTTCTTTGTTGCTTTGTATGTCCCTCCCCCATGGTATAACCCCTGCTTTCACTGTATTTGATGTTGGTATAATTTGTGGAGAGGAAGGGAAAAAACAAATTGTTTAAATAGGGATACAGGTGGACCCATTGCAACAATGCGATGTACAAGACGTTATGTCGAAAAACGAACTTTACAACTTTGGGGGGGAGGACTGGTAGGGGGGCAGGGGGAGGATGGGAAGGGATGGGAAGGGAAACAAAGGAGGAGGCAACAATGATTGATAAGAAATGTACTCATATCTTGCCCATGTAATTGTAACCCCTCTGTATAGTATTTACAATAAAAAAAAAAAAGGAAACCGTTTTCTTTTGAGGAACCTCCATACTGCTTTCCAGAGTGGTTGAACAATTTTATACTCCCACCAACAGTGTAGTAGCATTCCCTTTTGGCCACATCCTTTCCAGCATCTGTTGTTATTAGAGTTCTTGATTATAGCCATTCTAACTGGGGTGAGGTGGAATCTCAATGTTGTTTTGATTTGCATTTCTTCTATGGACAGAGATGTTGAGCTCCCGATGACCCAACAATCCTACTTCTGGGCATTTACACAAATGACTACAAACAAGACCATACTATCAGCATAATTATGATCGTAAGTGAAATGAACTCCAAGACATAGGCATAAGAGGATTTTTCTTTGTTGTGGTTATTGGGTTTTGTTTTTGTTTTTGTTTTTTTTGGTCAGTCATGGGGCCTGAACTCTGGGCCTGGGCACTGTCCCTCAGTTCTTCAGCTCAAGACTAGTGCTCTACCACTTAAGCCACAGCCCATTTCTGGCTTTTTCTGTTTATATGGTGCTGAGGAATTGAACCCAGGGCCTCATGCATGCGAGGGAGCACTCTACCACTGAGCCACCTTCCCAGCCCTGTTGTTGTTGTTGTTGTTGTTTTTAATGAGCTATGTGAAGTTATTTCTTTTTTCTTGTGTTTTTTTTTCTCCCCCAGCCCTGTGGTTTATCCCGTGTTGTCACTGTATTTGATTTTACTACCCTGTGAATTGTATATACATTCATCTAAACTAGGGAAGGGAAGGAGAACAACAAAATAGTGAGACAAAGGACAAAGGGAGAACCAATGTAACAGTGATACTCACAAGACAATATGTTAGAAATGAGCTGTACAACTGGGGGATTAGAGGGAGTTGGGGGAAGGGAAAATGGGAGAGAATTGAGGGGGGTTAACAAGTTCAACAAGAAATGTACTCACTACCTCACTGTGTAACTATAACCACTCAGTACATTACCTTGGCAATAAAATCTCTAAAAAAAGAAATAAAAATATCAGAAAAAATAAAAAGGAAAGAAAGAGGGAAAGAAAGAAAGAAAACCACTTTCTTTCTTCAAGCAATTGAGCTGCAGAATCAAAGGTCATGCTGGCAACAACATGCTGGTATACAAGATATCACTTCCTGAGAAAGAACCTTCTCAAGAAAATCAGTTCTTATCTTTTATTTCATAAGTGAGATAACTTCAGGGATATAGTTTTCTATCCAAGAGAGAAGATGTGATTGGCTAGGCCCTATCTTTATTCTGTACCCCCTGTAAAAATTGAGCAAACTGAAACTGGCTGCCATTACCCAGTTCCCATCCCTACACCAGCCAGCTGTGCCCAGCTGTGGCCAGACAAATGGGACAAATGGGAACAAATACCAGACCTGAAGTTGGTCCTTATTACTGAGAATCTGCTCTTGCAAGAGTTTGTACACAAAATAAGTACAATTCAACATTCTCCCAGGCTCACTGCCATTTCTGTATAGGGACTGAAGGAGAAGGTGTGTGTACAACTGTTGTGTGTTTTCTGTATCTGCAAGAGTGTGTGTCTACTGTGGGTAAGAAAGTTCCCAACACATTTTAGTAGCATTCAAGATATTCTTTCTCAAGGTACAGCAATGCATGCTATGTACATGCTTGCATACATATTTGTGAGACAGTTTTTAGGCTTCTTCTTAGAGTTCTGTCATCTGACAACAATGATCCTTTTCTTCCCTGCCCTCAGCACAGGACAGCTGCTTAATACAAAGTATTTATTCTCTATGTCTATGAGTTCATCTTGGCCTTCTTGATCTAGTGTTCTTCCTTCTAAAACAAGTAGAAAGC